ACAGTGCAATGAATACTGTATCATTATATTCATTGCCATGTTTGTGGCAACTGGCACACTTCATTGCTATTACTACAAAAGGCACACACAGTTAAAAGGTCAATTATAGCTATGTAATTATTGGTAGGGAGAGGCTGGCCTATTGGCTTCATAGCAAAGATAAGCTATACAGTTTACTCATTATCCTAGACCCTTTACCAACTTGTGTATAATGGTTTGTCATTACCATTATATAATTGTATTCTGTGTAGGTGATCACTAATATTGATATTCAAAGTATTGAACCAATTGATCATCATATGAGAGACTCTTTATCTAAATCTGTTCAAATGGCAATTGAGATATCTACCAAGTGAGTCCACACTTCATCTACAATTCATATATATACAGTACATGTACTCTGCTGCCCTGTTATGGACTCTTTTGTCTTGCTATGATAATAGCTCACTAAGTGACCTGATAGGTTACTATCCCAGTTGAGTTTAGGACAAGAAAAACTGGAACAACTTTTTATAGGAAAATGAGATAAGGATGAACAACTTTTTAAATAGTAGCTGGTCACTGCATGATCAAGGGATCATATAACAAAGGCTAAGATGAATCTGGTTATGATAGTAGAAAATGCATAGAATGATGCATGGGCATCAAAAGCTAACCACATTATAATGTAGCAATCTTTCAATCATAATAACAATCAAGTCTGATGTACATGTACAGTTGGCTATTCCTTCCTAGTTTACTTCTTTCATAATTGAGATACATTTGCTTGTTATAATGTTACTAATGCTCAGGTCAATAGAGAGGTCAGCACAGCATGAGGCACAGAGAACTGAACAAAAAGCAAAAGGAGAACTAGAGAGACAAAAACTACAAAATGAAAAGGTAATTAATATTATGAACATGGTAAAGAATAATGAAAGATTATCATACATGTACCACTTTGGTTTATTCCCATCGGAAGCACATGCACTTATATCTAGTCTACATCATTTTCACATACTTATTTGTGTACATGTAGGATGCATATACTTTCTTGAATTCTCTTTTGCAATGTATAATGTTTTTGACTGGTGCTATTTATAAACAGCAGAGAACAGTATAATCTTCATTATTGTTATTGATAGGAGGCAGAGGAGGCAAGGAAGGAGTTGTTAGAGTTACAAGCAGTAGCAGCTGCTGTTGAGAGCACTGGACAAGCTAAAGCAGAAGCACAAGTAATAAGATAATAACATGTACATGTATGCAATGTTGAGGTTGTATGATACATCAACCACTGCAATAGTTGGTACTTGTAGTATAATTTCAATATTTCATTTGTC